TTTGTTGATTCATCTTTTATGTAATCAAATTTATAAATATTAAAAATAATAAAACGCTGCTATCATTGTGAGAATACTACAATTAGATCTACACTCAGGCATTAAGCAAAGTATGCTTTCCTCCTCAAATACAATTCCTGTTTTAAAATTAAAGCCAAGTCATATTCTCAGTAACAAAACACTAGTAATCAGCAAGTCTGAATATCTTACAGGATAAATTACGTTTAGCAGGTTTAGAAATACAAGTCCAAATTAGTAAGTCACCCTATTTATCACAATACTCCCAGAGTGCCGAAGTAGCTGCTTCCATCAATTCCATGTTTCATAAGAAAATTATTTGTGATTTCACATTATGAGTACGAAAAATAATTTAACTGTAAAGAACTATTTCAGATTAACGCAGATCTTAAAAACTTCCCTATGAAAACCAGTATCTTGCTTCATAAAGTTAATACAAGGAAGTTAGTATTAAATAGTGTAATATAATAAATAGTGTCATAAACACACGTTTAGTGGCAAAAGCTCTCTAGCTCACTTTCCTTCTACTTTAGACTCTCCTGTCAATAAATAGAACCAAATTGAAAGTCAGTAACTTGACATTATTGTGACAGTGGTGTGGTTGGTTTGTTTGGTTTTGGTTTTTGTTTTGTTTTGTTTGTTTGTTTAAAGCATTATGAATGAAAGTTGAGTATTAGCAAAAGATGCCCAACCAGCACGGAACTCAGTGCGACTGCTCAAGTGTCAGGACAGGCATTTACCAGGAAAGCTTCAGAGTGATAGTGTGCACCAGAGGAAAGGACACAAAGCCAAGGAGTCAGATGCACACTTTATTCCATTCCCTGCTAACGCTAACCTGTTAAGTGACTGCAGGCAAGCCTGTGCTCCTTCACTGTTTTGTATCTCAGATGCTGAAAACAGGGATAAGAATGATCGTTCCTTGCTTTGAGGTGTGTGGTTACAGTGTGGCTTATGCACTTCGCCAGACAGGACATAAGCATATGAATAAAGCAATGCCTACAACCACCAACTATTAATAACATTACTGAGAGAATATGATGTGATTTTTTTCCTTACTTTTCCATGCAATGCAATCTAACACAAGCCCATCAAGCCATTCTTGGAGTAATCCTTATGCTGGTTCAGGTCTTACCCCTTCTGAAACTGCCAAGAAGGGTGACAGCTGGAGGAGTCTTTAGTGACATTCACATGTCCACTAGTACCAGGCTCACCACATTGCTCTCAGACAGAAACACTGTATCACTACTGATCTTAAAAAAATAAAAATAAAATAATAAAAAGGAAGGAAGTCCTAGTAATCATTTGACATATAACAGAATGGAAGAGCTTCTGACATTGATACCCCAGGAAAGGGGGAAAACTTGGTAGAAGAAAAAGGAATAAAGTTAATACTACAGAAGTCAGAAAGTTGACTTTTTCCTGTTTCTTCTCAAGCATGCTTTGAAATACATACAACCACTATTTCAACCCAGCTTTACAGACTCATGCGTAATAAAAGAAACATGAACTATTAAGGTTACAGTAAGGTAAAACAGTATCCATACTGCTTTAAAAACAACTTAATTCACTTAGGAAAACTGCCTCAATATACAGGCACCATATGATTTAACAATACAGAAAAAAGCATTGTTAGTTCCCATCCGCAGGTGGCAAAGGGACACATGGCTGTGGTTCCAAGAGTAAACTCTGACCTTGAAAGCCACCAGTGGCCCATAGCAGTGCCACTGACTCCACCAGCAGCAGCCCATCCCCATGCCAGGGCACAGCAAGTCCAACTTGGGTCCAAACTTTGAAAAGCAGCCTCCGGTTTTGCCAGAGCTCACAGAGGCAGCCTGTGACATGCTCAGAAATGAAAAATCAGTTTCATTTCAGTTCCACCTGTAATTTATAGCACCTTTCTCCACCAAGGAGCCACCCTCAGACAAATAGGGAGGCCTGAACACCACCTGTCCCATGTGCCATCAGAAGAGCAGCAGCATTTCGCCTCCTGGGTGCCCAGATCTCACTACAGATGTGTTTACAGCTTTCACATCACAGCAGAGCCTTGCACACCCCAGGTCTTGTCTGCCTTACCTGCACCTACCCCACCGCTACATGCGGTGGAAGTCACTCCCCAGCTCACTTACCAAAATCTCCTTCTTTCATACCAGTCTGCTACCAGCCCTGTCTAGTGACTGCGCTTCAGAGACGCTGTGCATCCTCAGCCCGCATCCCACGAGCGGCAGCAACCTGGAATAACTTTAAGCTCTGAATGCGAGCAATTGTATCGGTGAACTTAACCAGGCCTGTCATCTGCTTAAAGATACTCACATGCTTATAGGACTGCAAGCTATGGAACTACTAATTCATGAACAAAGTGCATTAAGATAATTCTGGATGGAAAGAAAAAACTTTAGCTATAAAATAACTGCACAATTACCTCTGATATTTTATGTGGAAAACTGACACTTAGTATCTTTAATTATTCACACAACAGCTATGAAACAGAAAAGGTTTCCTCATTGAACATGAAAATAAACATGGACAAATTCCCTCTCACCACCACTGCTACGCTCCTTTCCTAAATAAACCTGCTGAAACCAGTAGAAGTTTTGCAGGCAACAGGTTTATGACAAGCAGCCCCAAAAACACTCAAAAAGCATCGAGAGCAAGCTTATTCAATGTTTTAATTTACTTCAACACAAAAATCAGTTACGTTTCTGCTAAATTATGAGTCTGTTTGAAATGGTTTATCATTGCTGTGCCAAGAGGGACAACAGTATGCACTGAACTTTCGAGACCACAGGCCCATTTCTGAAGCATTCACAAGGCATCTTGCGAAGCGGCTCACCCCCTCGCAGCCCGTGACGCACCAGTACTGCACCCAGCACTTGTTAACCAAGACCAGAACCCAGGTGTCTCTCCTGTACGTCAAGACTGAGTTACTAAACTTCATTCACGAACGTTTACATTACTGAGAACTGTATAATAAAAGAAACCTTCCCTTCTACCAAAATAAAAGCTCCCTAAAGTAAATGGAAGTTCCTAGTCGTGGACAAATCTAACGAAATCTCTATTCTCCCCTTAACTAGGCACATCATTGTTATTACCTTTTTACGCTACGAGGAAATGGATTCCTCTGCTTCCTCTAAATCTTGTTACACCTTCTTTGTCAAAAAAGATACCTTGCCCTTCCTTTCTCTGTAACCTCTTCGTGCCAGTTCAACATCAGGAAAGATGTACATTTAGCACTATGCACAAATTCAAGGTCCACTCCTCTTAAAACTGTAGGCAGATTATGACCACCACTTCATTTCTAGGATCAAAACTCCATGCATCCAAAAGACTTAATCACATAAAAATAAACCAGATAATGACTAAAGACACTACTCTAAGCAAGGTCCCTGAGCTATGCTTTTTCAGTACCATTTACTAAGAAAGTAAAGAAAAGTAAAGAAAATTACTTCAGTAAAGTACTCCAAGTAAAGAAAAAGTCCTTGGTACATAGAGCACTCTAATCTAACTCTTACCTGAAAACACAGAAAATTAAGTTCAGAAATGAGAGCATTTGTCTTCAGCTCTGAACAACAGTTTGAAGACTATCTGCCAGCTTTTCAACTTCCCAATGCATTTTTAACTTCATAAAAATTGTTGCATCAATTACTCTACACAGAACTCGATTCTTGTCAGTAATGGTATAAAACTGAAAGCAATATTCTCTTATGCAACCAGTCTGTCATAAAGAATTTCAATCATTTAATTTGGTGTTTATACTGTCAGACCAGCAAATACCAACCTCACTGCCCACAAAATCCAAAAAAACTTGAAATTTGGGTGTAATTCTACAAGAACTGAAGAACAGGCAGAATCTTCCTTTCAAACTATCTCCCCACAGTGGTTATCCCAGCCTTAAGACTAGTTTTGTGGTCATAATATCACACCAGAACAGCTGTTCCCAACAGCCCCCTTTGAGCCAGCGTGTTTGGGATCATCACTTATCCTACGTCTGCTATGCATTGCCTGGAAAAGGTCAAGAGTATGTTATTAATCATTCACATTTATGAACACTAAGCTTACCCCAAATACATGTCTTGTCTTGTTTTTAATTATGCACACAATAGTACCATTAACAAAAATACTACCTCCCACTTCCCCATTTTGGGCCAAACGCAGTTCAGTGCCACCACAGGCGATTGTATGAGAAGTGTTCCAAATGCCGCTCATTTTGTCATCTATGAATGTGACCCCGCAAATTTAGAACCTCTTCTTTACAGTACCACTTCAGCTTAAAAGATGTCAAGCCTTACAAAAGGTGTCAAAATTTTTCCTAGCATACAGACGAAAAAAAAGGTTGTGCACCTGAAAGCTCAGAATACTAGTAAATTAGTCACCAAGATTCATCTCTCAAATTGATAGGTACCAGTATTAATCAATGCCAAGAGGAAAAAAACTCAGTAACACAGAAGAGCACAGACAGAATTCTAATTAGCTCTCAGTTTACATGTTAAAACTGAACCAACTCCTGTTGCAGTAGTATTACAGTTCTGCTGAACTTCTCACTGATTGACCTCCAGAGATTTCCGATTACCTGTTCCACTTTCATATTTTTTCCTACCACTGAATTTTGAAAGGACTTTACATTCCCATTAGGTTTTCCACCTGTGTGTTGCACTTCGCATATTCTCACGTCACTTTGGTTTAAAACTTTTGCCCTAAGTCAACCAGCTGATTATCTTTACAAAACAAGGTTTAATTAAAAAAAAACAAGAAAAAAGAAGAGATATCTAAATACGCACAGCCTTCTAATTCTCAGCTTATCCAGACCCACTCCTACAGACAAACTTTGTAACCTAGCAGTTGCCATGAGCACCTGGAGAAGACATGTTTTCTGAGGCGCCAAAATCTGAACAAGCATCTCCAACGTAAAAAGCGGCAGCACAAGGACCTCTATCTTATCAACAACAACAGAGTTCTTTTTCTGTGTGTACAGTTTACATACTTACCCAGGAAGGCAAATAGAAATTACAGACAGACGAAGATGAAGCTGTCTCAAAGCCTTTGTCATGTGATAGTGACCTATAAAGTATCAAATAAAGGCACATCATCAGCACATCATGATTTTACAATATTGCAACTCACCACAACACCAACAAGAGGAGAGATCCCAAAACTTGAAACTTGCTCTCTGCTCACCCCCACCCCAGATAAGTTGTCACTAAAACAAGATGACAGTCGCAGGAAACCATAAGGTGCAAACAAAAGATGCACCATGTCTTTAAAGGGCATCAGGACTGGGCAAACGGAGCAAATCATCTGGGTGTGCATCAGCAGGGTGGGTTATTTTTCCTCTGTGTCTCTCGAACACACAGATGCATGTTTATGCGTGCACACAGACATATATACGTACACGCAGGGATGCATCATGTAATTATTTACATGCACTCCCAGAGAAACACGCAGGCATTATCAAAATAAAAGGCAGAAAGTTGACCACCATCTGCAAGAAGGGATACATAACAATAACCCCGGGAACTTACACAAGTGAGCGATCAATCCCTGCGCCTGGATAAGCCAAACAACGCGAAATTAGCAACAAGAATAAGCCGCCAGGCTGCAGGTACGAGAGATCCACCCGAGGAGACAGACAGGCAGACAGACAGAGGGACGGACGGAAGGCAGGCTGCAACGCTGTAACACAGTTTCAGGTAATGCCCGTTCCCCTCTCGGCAGAGCACAGCCGAGCCGCC